GGGCTCTCTGGATACGGTTTATTCCCTTGGATAATTGAGAGTTAGTGGAGGAATTGTGATCCACAATTATAGCAATTAGAAACTGAAAAGACCTTGAAAATAAGAATCTATCAATCACTTGAAAACAGATGTTTTCTAAATTTACTGTGCAAGAAGTTAAATGTTTGAAAGCTTTCATCTGTTAGAAGAAAACATTAATTTATTAAAATTAGAGCCCTTGCCTTTGAATGTAATAAAAGAAGTATTTAAATTATGTCCAGCAGATAAACATCACATGCAGTAAAACTAAACCAATGAAAACTGCTGTAGTTCCCCTCACCACCCAGCCGGCGTCTTCTATGTATTATGTGACACTTAGGAATTTGTGGCATTCTCTAAGATGTTAGAAATTGCCCCATCTCAGCTGGCTGGTGAGAAGAGCCCCCGTGCTATGGGAGTCCGTCTTTCCTGGAATAAAGTTCTCTCCGCAGAGGTCTTTTCTAATTGCTGCAGGTATGGCTGGATATTTAGCTGTATAGAAATGGTCAGCATTCCATATGGTGTATTTCCTTTTTGAAATAGTTATATATCAGTTCTATTTTTAAATTACTCTACCATAATATAGTTTAGTATAATTTTTTAAAGTATGGCTTTAGTATAACTGTAAGCCTCCAGGAATTGGGTGGCTAATCCAGGTTGGTTTTTGCCTGTTATCTTTTGGAAAAAAAAGATTTTCATTATAGCTTAGTGGTTCAGAATTTGAAGAACTAAAAGTAGACAGACATTTGAAATTTGTCAATTCTCTACTAGTCACAATTTAACCTCCTGTTTATAGAATATTTAAGAGATTATTAAAGTTATCAAAAAACAATAACATGTTGGGACTAAAAGGTAAATATGACATATCAGTAAGTATTTTAATGTATATGAAAAGAAGTAGAATCATAAGAATTTTAGAGCTAGATTTAAACTCCCTGTGTGTGTGTGTGTGTGTGTGTGTGTGAATGTGAATGTGAGTGGTCAATTACTATTTAAGCAAAGCTGATAGTTTATAAACAGGAAGCCAAAGCACTAGAATATATATAATATACTGGCGCATAGTAGACATTGGATAAACATATGGTGAATGAATGAATTATGTAGTGACCTACTTACCCAGCTGGCATAGAGCTCAGATCCTAAATTTCATAGCTTCTAGCATTTTTTGCTTATCTTGCTAATTTCCTGGCTTGTTAAATAGGGTACTTCCAACTACAAGGAGCATCTTAAGAATTTCAGAATGGTTTTTCAAATATTTCTACTTGCTAAAAGGCATAGGAGCTAAGTGTGCTGAATCACAGTTTTATGTAGAAAATGAGAGAATTATAAATTATAAATGTGAAATTGTTTGAAACTGATATTTGATAGTTTTCCTAATGACATGCAGTAGGAAATAAGTTTTGATTAATTTAAGAATAGAATTTCTGTAAGGCTCTCGTATAATATGCTAAATATTTCTATACAGCCAAATATTCAGACGTGCTCTTCCAGTAGGAAAAGGCTCTGGGAAAAGAACTGTATTCGAGCTTCATTCCAGGAAAGACAGACTCCTCCAGGATGGGCTTATCTTAGCTTTTTGCCGTTTTTCAATTTTTATTATTTTTAAAAGTAGTGTTGATTATTGACTGGTATGTAAATGGAATAATAAGTATGCTTTAGGATTGGCTTTTTTCACTCAGTGTAGTTCTCTGGCGATTTGTGCAGGTTGTTGTGTGTGTCAGTAGTTCATTCTTTTTTATTGCTGAGTAGTGTTCTATGATGGAGGTACCATAGTTTGTTCAGCCATTCCTTGAAGGACATCTGGGTTGTTGCTAGTTTCCAGCCATTACAAGTAAAGCTGTACAGGTGTTTGTGTGAACATTAGTTTTCAGTTCTCTAGGATAAATGCCCAGGAGTGCACTTGCTGGATTGTCTGGTAGTTGCATGGTAGTTTTTAAGAAACTGCCAGACTTGTCCAGAGTGGATAAAGGGATCCTTAGGTGTAAAAGTTGGACAACCACTGCCTTATACAAAGGCAGCTATCAAAGCTGATATGTAACATATACAATAAAATTTTCTTGTGTTGATATCAAGTAAAAAAAAAACTTTTTCTCAGACTTTTAAAGATTAAAGGGAGTAATATCTTATTCTTTGTTTATAGTCACAGAGCAGGGTCCAGTATGTTGATTGCTTTGCAGTGCCACAAATTAATGTGCGAGGTTTTCTCCTATATATTTATATAACTGTATTATACATTTCAGGCTCAAGTATAAGCCTGAGAACAATTTTTTTTTAGTTCATAATATGTACCAAGAACTGGGAATACAAGAGGTAAAGAAGACACTCTCTTTACCCTCAAAGAAGTGAGAAGACAGATAAGCATGCAAATGTAGTAACTGCTGGAATGAAGGTATGCAGAAAGAGCAGCAGGGACATGAGGGAAGGGAACCCTACCTGAGAGTGGGAAGGAGGCTGTTGTGACTTGACAGAGGAGGTGGAGACTGACCTGAGACCTCAGGTGTGAGTAAGAGTTCGTCAGGAGGACACGCGAGGAGAGGGTATTCTTAGACTCTTGGCATTGATGAGTCAAAGGAACCATAGATGTTTCCCATCTAACCATATTTTGGTGGTAATCCTTTGCGCATCATGTTTTTTCCTGGGCTGCATCGCCTAGGTTAAGATCACAAAACTAGTAAGTGACAGAGCGAGGATTTAAACCCTCATGTGCTGGCCCCAGGTGTGTGCTCTTAACTACTTGTGTTACGTGGCCTCGCAATTCTTTAATCAGTGTTTACGTGCACATTAGTGATGTACCCATGATAAGTTTTCATTTGATGTTTGTTTCATGGCAACAGAGGTCTTTCAGGGCTGGAGATAATGTAGTTGTTATTTGGTCTTTTAAATGGGAACATGTTATTTTTCCTCATGAAAAGATTTTGTGATAAAATGAAAATAATCAAAGAAGTACAAGTTATTTAGAGACTTAGAAAATAGCTAAAATATAATAGCCTTAAGAGAAATGCTTTCTTAGTCATTATGTGGGAGGCTAGAATTGCAGTGTGTTTTCTTGAGGATAACAAAAAGTAGAATAAACACTGTCACAAGCAAAGAAGAGCAAAGGATGCGTGAATTTTCTTGCTAATTGAGTAGGAAACAAGAGTCTGCAGACATTTTGTATTAAAATACCTAGGTCGAAGGGATCTGTCTGCCTGAGATAAATGGTTTCTCTCCTTAATCTCACACACCTTGCACTGACATTTAAAACGTCATGATGCTCGGAGGGTAAAGAACAAGCCCCAGGAGTTACAACGTACAAGAAGTGTTTGCTCTCTCAACGTCGGTACTGATAGTTTAGATCACAGGCTGCTGGTATTATTACTGTTTTATTAAGTAGTTTTTAAAAACACACAATTTATCTGAGGTCAGTCATCCCATCTGAATTTTGTCCCACCCCCTCGTAATTCCTGGCAGTTCTTGTTCAATCTATTAGAGTGTTAAAATTGTTTCTATAATAAGTACTCCAAATAAATATAATAGCAAATACATGTATGTGATCAGAAGAGAATTTTATCATTGAAGCAAATGCTAGTAGCATTAACATGGTGTCCTACTCTTTCTGTTCTTATGTCAGGAACACCATGGTTTATCATGGTGTCCTACTCTTTCTGTTCTTATGTCAGGAACACCATGGTTTATAATTCCCCTACCCCGAGTACATTTTCTTTGCTCAGGTGTTTTGACCTGCTTCATATTCCGTGACTGTTCCGTGCTCTCTCAAGTCCCTGTGACTTAGCTGAGATGCCCTTGTCTATTTTTCTCTCTGGCTAATGCTTCCTGTCACAACTCAGCAATCCATGTTTTTTTCTCTTTTGAAAGTATTTCTGGCCCCAAAGCCAAACTGAGTTAGTTGCCAGTTCTCCTCATCTTTCTCTATATTCACATAGCATCCTGTGCATAACTCTCTTAGAGTACGTATTACATTGAATTTTAATAATGGGTTTTCTTAACTGTTGTCTCCCTACCTCTCCTCCATCCTTGTTCGGTTTGGCACATACACAAACTGTAAATATTAAGAATGAATATAGACAGCTATGGCCTTTGGAGTTGATTTTTAACCCCTGGTGCTAGAGCAGCAAGAAGTATGGGAGCCCTTCTATGAGGGTAGCATTCCTTGCTAGCCTTGCACTAAACTGAAGGAGGCTGTTGTGAGTCTTGTGTGGAGAGGAGACACACACACACACACACACACACACAAATAGCTGCTCCAAGTAAGCAAGAACAGGAAGTGTGGAATGATGTGAAATGGAATTGAAATTTATAACATACATGTCTTATCTATTTAACTGAATTATAGCAGGTTTTTTAGTATTGCACTTTATGGAGTTCGCACAGATGTTATATATGCTGTGCAGATTTATCTTTCTATAATCTGTGTTATACAGAGACAATATTCAAATCATACGTATTTTGAAATCTGTTTTTTCCCATACAGTGCAGAGCATAGGTCATTTTTTTTAACAGACACTGAATTATCCTTGAGCCTACATTTCAAAGACACAGTACTATAAATGCATAAAATCAGTTGGAAGCAAAGACCCATAGTTGGGATAGCAAATGCAGATGTATTACACAACATACCTCAAATTACATTATTAGTATACTATGCAGATTAATTGGCTTTAAAACTACCAGTGAAGTATTTGGGCATTTCAGACACTAAAACAAATTGTTTCTTACATCACACCATATAATATATGGCATTTTTGCTTTTAATCACAAGTTCCTTTTTCATCAAGAACTTGGCAATGTAAGTCATTCTTCTTAGCCAAAAAGTAAATTAGTTAATTTCGTTTTTATGTTTTTATGACTAATTTATTACCTCATCTAAATTTTAAGTTTTTACTAAAAAAGAAGTTAACTGGTAATATTATGTTGATACTTTTAGCTTATTTTGATTGATATTAATTACTTTTTTGGTTTTTTGGTTTATTTCATTTATCTAGAAAATCGGACCTGTTTTTAGTCAAATACAGTCTTTTAAAGGAAACCAAACCTTAAGTGGAAGTCTAACGTATGAAGATACGGAGGCTGCTTCGGTTGATTCAAAATGGGAACGACAAGTGATGAGATGGTGTCTGTGGACCAGACCTCTTCCTCCTCCTTCAATCCTCTGTGTTTCGAGTGTGGCCAGCAGCACTGGACAAGAGAAAACCATTTATACAATTACCAGGATGAAGTGGACGATGACCTGGTCTGCCACATCTGCCTTCAGCCTCTGTTGCAGCCACTGGATACTCCCTGTGGACACACGTTCTGCTGCAAGTGCCTCAGAAACTTCTTACAAGAGAAAGATTTCTGTCCACTAGACCGGAAAAGACTTCACTTTAAGCTGTGTAAGAAGTCTAGTATTCTAGTTCATAAACTACTGGACAAATTATTAGTTTTATGTCCATTTTCTGCAGTGTGCCAAGATGTCATGCAACGCTGTGATCTGGAGGCGCATCTTAAAAACAGGTAAGCAAAAAATATGAAAGAGAAAAAAGTAACTCTAGATTTTATAAAAAGGTTGCTCAAACAAACAAAACTTAATAAAAAATACCAAGGCGGGGCTGTCTCTGTGGTGTAGTGGTTAAGTCCAGCATGTTCCGCTTTGGCGGCCTGGGTTTGTGGGTTTGGATTGTGAGCACAGACCTCTACCACTCATCGAATCATGCTGTGGCAACGACCCACATACAAGATAGAGGAAGATTGGCACAGATTTTAGCTCAGCGCAAATCTTCCTCACCAAAAAAACCGAAAAACAAAAAAAAAACCCCCAAGGCATCAATAAGTAAATGAACAAATCAAATACAGGAGATATAATAAATAAGTTGTGTGGAACAATATTTAAAATTATTGTTTATCAAAAACATGCATACAAAAACTACAGTAAGGAAGTATTATATATATATGAATATTTTTGTTGGTATAATATGAAGCTGCCATATTCACATGGGTAGCAGGATTTAATGATAGAGTCTTTGCAAGGCACTTTGTTTCAAAAACTGTAAATGTAAATATCCTTTTATCTGGCTTATTATCCTAAGGAAAGAATCCAAAAGAAGGAAAAATTATATATAAGGATGTTCTCTGCAACATTGGGCACAGTTCAGTAAACTAGAGTCAATAGAATTACTTAACAGGAGAAGGGTTAACAATCCGACAGTACGTCAATGCAATGGGATATTATGCAGCCAATAAAAATAATTTTGTTGCAACATGGAAATGAGTGTACATGATTTTATTTCCTAAAATCTTGTAAAACTTCTGAGTTCAGGGACTCGACTGAACAAGAGCTAGGGGTTGGAAACTTTAAAAACTTGAGTGGGGACTTTTAATAATAAAAGCTAATAAAACTAATAAAAGCTTTTTAAAAGGTTAACTAATTTATTTAGCTAGTTGTTTATTGAGTTTTATAATTTGACTTTGGTAAAAGACTTGATCTTTGGAATTATTTATACTCTTAGGAAGGGTTAAATACATCTCTTATGCCTTAAGTAGGTCGAATCACATAAAAGGACAGAAGTAAACATATTGATTTCTGATTACAAAGTTAAGCCACTTGTGCAGTGTAGATCTGCAGTAATCTTGATGGCTGTGATAAACAATGCATAGTGGACAATACACTGGATTTAGAAATAGTAGTATAAGTTTGGTATAGAACAACTTGTCCTTGTACTCACATATAAAATCACAGAATTGAAGGAGATTACCTCATCTAATCCCCTCACTTTATAAATCAGTAAACTGAGTCACAAAGATTAGAGGTAGTTAATGGTATAGTTAGATTTAAACTTCGGTATTCTATTTACCATTCTAATATACCATGCTGAGTTTACCACAGGTCAAATTATGTTCTCTACTACTAAGTAGTAGTAAAAGTTTCATATACATGTTCATTCTGTTCCTAAATATCAGTGGTTTCTAATGAGTACACTCATTTTACATAATTTAGATGTGTAAGAAAGAACGAGACGTTATTAAAAAGTCAGAAACATGAAGATTTATAGAGAAATAGCTTGAATCTAAGCTGTATTATCTAAAAATAAGCTAAGAAAAAAGTGTAAAATAAATATCTAGACTTTTGAAAATACGTGTTGTCTTGGGTTTTTGTATATCTCAGTCACCAGCAGGCATAGAATCTGAACATGATAGCAGACACCTCCTGGAAATTGACACCAGACTTGAATTTACTAGTCTGGGTCGGGCCTAGTTATGGCTGAGGTTGAAGAATATCTTAGGCTTTTCTTATTTCTCCCAGTAGAACTATTCTCTTTAGGGGATAGGTTTCTTTTGTGACTCTCTTATGAACGTCAGTTATGGGATGTTAGAGGAACTGAACAAAGTCTCATTTTAGTTACTAATTATTTTGATAGAGAAAAATTTCACAAATTTTTAGGAATAGTCACTTAAGTAAAATGTATACAAGAATTTAATATGTAGTTGAAGTATCATTAATATTTTCTATCAAGCTATTTATGTTGATGATGTAAAAACTTGGAAATTGCAAACTATTCTTTCATTTATAGGTTGATAAAGGCTAAGCAATTATGACCGGTTGAAGGTTCCATTTTCCAAGTGTGCTCATTAATATCGAACTACTAATTTAATCATTTCCAAAGTGTCTTAGGCCCATGTTGGGAAAGATAGATTGAAAAGGTGAATGATTTGATAAGGTGGGTGACCTGCTTGATGTGACTTGATAATGTGATTTTTATATCCCATTTGAACAGATATGTGATGAACAGCCTGGCCTTTCTCTAGTCTCTTGATTAAAAATGTTGAAATTCAGGCAGAAATGGTTATTATGCAACACTCAACCCTAAATAGTACAGTTCATTTGTTCATTCAGCAAATATTTATTTTCTACTATGTGCCAGATACTGTTCTAGCTGTTAAGTAGTCTCTGCAGGCTGATAGCAAGTTAGAATCTACTGCTGGGTTGTAAATTCCTTCAGGGCCAGGACCATGTTTTTACTAGTCTTTGAATTCCCTTGCCCAAAATTGACACTCATCTCATGTTTCTTCAATTAAATTGTTAGTCTGTGTTGTGGTTATCCATTGCTGAGAAACTAATGACCCCAAATATAGTGACATAAAACCACAAGCATTTGATTCTGTGAGTCAGGGATTCAGACAGGGCACAGCAGGGATGACTTGTGTCTGTTATGTGCTATCTGGGCCACAGCTGGGAGGAACTGAGAGCCAGGGACTGCAACAGTTGGGACTGGAGAATTTACTTCCAAGATGGCTGCTTCTTTCACATGTCTGGCACTTTGATGGAGATAACTAGCAGCACGGGCTCAGCCAGGGCTTGTCAGCTGGAGAGCCTACAGGTGGCCTCTCCAACACGGCAGCCTCATGGTCTTTAAAGTTCTGACATGGCGCTCAGTGTTCCAGTGAGTAAGGCAGAGGCTGCATGTCCTTGTATGATCTGACCTTGAAGTCACATAGCATCCCTTATGCTGTTCCTCGTTTGAAGTAGTTACAAGATCACCCAGATTCAAGGGGCGAGGATATAGGCTTCACTTTGTGATGGGAGGAGGTCAGAAAATTTGCAGCCATGTTTTAAGACCAACACAACTAGCAACAAGGGTGATGTCATGAGGCGCAGAATATAATTATTATGACTGTGGCATCTCTGTAAACAGTCTCACTCATTTGTTAGAAATTGGTAAGTATCATTGAAATTCAAAGAATTTTGTCAGCAACAGTGATTCATTATATAAAAGATATATGACTATCATGTATTCTTGAATTTTTAGGATTTGGAAATCTCTATTAGTAGAAATATGGCATTAGGAATAGTTTGCATAAATCTGGTAATTTTGAATCTAAAATTACCTTTCCTATTTGAATGAAATTTTGCTCTTAAAAAAATCTGCTTCAGTTTAAGAACAGCTGACATTTTCTCCTACTTGGCTAAAAGTAAAACATTTATGAAGGCAAATGTATTTTTAAATAAAATTACTAGTTATTAACTGATTATGTATTAGTAAAACAATGAATAATTTAAAAAACATGGGAAAGTGCCCATCTTTGAAAGGAGAACTGAAACCTTTAAAATATATTCTATATATTATACTAAGCATTTAACATTTTAGTAATTACTTTGTGAAAATCTGCCAAGCAGCATGAACTAGAAAGCATTCCTCCTCCCCTTGTCTACCTCTCATCCCTGTCTCATCCTCAACAATTTAACATTTAAAGCTTATGGTAATTTTAAATGTTAAATTTTTTGTTAAATTGTGCATTTGTGTCGTAGTTTATGGCAAGATTCAGAACCATTTTGCTTTTTCTCATAAAAATTATAACTATTATTAAAGGTTTATACAACATAGAGAAAACTTTTAAAGAAGTCTTTGCGTGCAGAGACCTTTTCTAGTTCATCAAATGGTTTCAGAGCCTTTAGGGGTCAGGGTAGGCTGAGGCAAAATTGCTCTTTTAAGTTCTCATTTTAGCTTGGCGAGAAATTTGTATTTGGCACATTCTTACCAGTATTCTTTTCTGATGTATAATGTAAAGTGCAGATATATGTTTGCAAATCATGTATCTGATAAGAGTCTAGTATTCTCAGGGCATAGAAAGAGCTCTTATAATTCAACAAAAAGTCAAATAATCCAATTTTAAATAGACAAAAGATTTGATTGGATATTTCTCCAGAGAAGATATTCAAATGGACAATAAGCACATGAACAGATGCTCAACGTTATTAGTCCATTTTTATAATGGATTGTTTTGTATTTTTGTAAGTTTTAAGTATTCTGTGTATATTCTGGATACTAGACGGATCAAATAAGTGATTTGCAAGTATTTTCTCTTGTTCCATCAGTTGTCTTTTCATTTTCCTATATCCTTTGAAGGACAAACAAATTTAATTTTTTTTTTTTTTGAGGAAGATTAGCACTGAGCTAACATCCGTGCCCATCTTCCTCTATTTTGTATGTAGGACGCCTACCACAGCATGGCTTGTCAAGTGGTGCCGTGTGCACAGCCGGGATCTGAACCGGCGAACCCCAGGCCACCAAAGTGGAACATGCGCACTTAACTGCTGCACCACCGGGCCAGCCCCCCAAGTTTTATTTTTATGAAGTCCAGTTTATCTCTTTTTTCTTTGTTTTCTTGTGCTTTTGTTGTCATATCTAAGAAAACACTGCCTAATCCAAGGTCATGAAGATTTAGACCTGTGTTTTCTTCTAAGACTTTTATAGTTTTAGCTCTTAAATTTGGTTCTTTCATCCATTTGAATTAATTGTGATTGGAGAACATGCTGTGTATGATTCAGTCCTTTATATTTTATTGAGGCTTTTTTTATGGCCTACACATGATCTGTCCTGGAAAATGTTCCATGGGTACTTGAGAAGAATATGTATTCTGCTATTGATGGATGGAGTATTCCGTAGATGTCTGTTAGGCCTAGTTGATTTATAGTGCTGTTAAAGTCTTATTAAAGTCTGTTTTCTTGTTCTCAAGTC